GCAACATAAATCATATATGACCGAAATGTCTCTGCAAGAGTTTGAACTTTTTATGGTTGGGAAATGTATATGATATTTTCAATCAAGTACACCATCCATCAACATGATAAATAATGAACCTGAAGCCTTGCACGACGATCCTCCTTGCGTTGAGCATGCGCAACATACAGAGGTTTGCTAACAATAATCTTTCCATTCATCTCATTAATCTGGGAAGAAAAACACAGTGGCACTCAATCAGGGTTACAAACTGGAAAGTAGTATAATCATATGCATACTGGGATCAATAAAACCTTTTAACTTACAGCTCGTGAGGCCTCTTCAGGTGTAGCAAATGCAACAAATCCTGAACCTTTGCTAATTCCACTTGGATCACGCACAACCTTTGAATTAGCCAAAAATGAAACAATGACTATGAGCAGATTATTGTGAGAAGAGAAGAATAATAGCAATACAGCAGCGAAAAAAGTGCTACCTTGCATGATGTGACGGTACCAAATTCAGAAAACAACTCCTTGAGCTTTTCATCAGATATTCTGTCATCCAAATTCTTAATGTAGAGATTGAGTCCTTGGTACTTATCAACAGCTTCCTTCATACTCTGCTCAAATCGTCCTTTCAGTTCTTGCTCTCTTTCAGATTTCTTCTGAGCCTTTCCAACAAACCATTCTTTGTCATCAAATTTTTTCCCGTTAAGAGCCTCAACAGCTTTAGCTGCATCATCTGCATTTTCAAAATTAACAAACCCAAAACACCTAGACTTCCCATCTCCATCCCGCATCACCACAGCACTAGTAATTGCACCATACTCTCCAAAGACCTTCTTCAAGTCCTCATCCGCAGTTGATTCGGAAAGATTTTTCACAAATACATTATTGAATCTTGTATTACTCATAGAACTATCTCTCTCCTGCTTACGGACAAAGGGTCCGACATAAACTTGCTTATCGTTCATCAGCATACCATCCAACTTGTCAATAGCATTCTTAGCAGCTTCCTCAGTGTCGTACTGAACAAAACCATAACCCTTGGACTGTCCAGAAGCATCAGTAGCCACTTTGCATGACAGAATGTTGCCAAAGGCAGAGAAAGTTTCATGTAAAGCTTTGTGATCAATGGCCTTGTCAAGGTTCTGCAGCACACAAAACGATATCAACAAAAGTAGAGATAAGAAGTTGTACATACATTGAGAATATGAAACAGCCAAGCACAATATCACTGACACATAAGTGATTGGGAAACAAATATGGATACTAAGTTAAATCTTTATATAAAAAAAAGAAAGCAAAAAACGACCAATAGCTCAATGGCCCAAGAGTATCACAATAATAAGAAAATAAGACTGAATCAAGGCTTAGGATTGAACGGACAAGTACAAGGTACCAGAAAACAAAGCAGTACCAAAATAACAAGCTAGGAATAACAACATTTTAGGCCGATAACAAGAGGCAGTACCTTGATGTAGATATTTCCAGCACCACTCTTACGAAGACTCGGATCCCTGTGTGAATACATGATCCTGATAGACTTGTTGTTGAGTGGAGTGAAGTTCAGCAAGTCCAATGCCCTTGCAGCTGTTGCGGAAGCAAAGAAGCAGAAAACGTAAGTAATCAACTTAGAGAATATCAATGAACATAAGAATGCAAGAGAGGCCACACAAGAGCAAATCATCATGGAAAAACTAATAAGGTCTCGTATGAACTACAAAAAAACCCAACAAGAGATCCTTCAAGCAAGAGGGACTTTTACGAAATTAACGCGTAAAATGCAACTGAATTAGGAATTTAACATCATCTAATGTACAATGAATTCACCCGTTCTGACTGAGGCTAGGGTCTAATCAAATTTCTAACTAACTTATCCAGAGCATGCACGTTTATGCAGGCAGTAACCTTTCAATGTTCCAGGACAAACATTTAGCATATAGCCTAATTATCATCCCAACACAAGAAAAAACAAGGACCCTGTTTTGCAATGTGCCATATGGTGTTCATCAATTCAGTAATCACTTTCAGCAAACTCAAAACGCTCAGTCACAACACAGAACAGAAGCATTAAACAATACAGTATCAAACATGCACACCCAAAACCACAGAGCATTCCATTTAGCAAACCCTAAACCAAAAAACTGTTAAGCGATTAAGAAATTACTGACCTTCCTGGCCATTGGTAAAGTTAATATAAGCATAGCCAAGAGACCGCCGGGTATTCTGGTCCCTGCAGACACGAATGGACACCAGCTGGCCGACTTGACCAAACAGATCGGCGAGCTGCGCCTCAGAAACGTTGGGATCAAGATCCCCCACGTACAGCGAGGTGGAACCGAAAGGGATCGGCCCAGTCGCCACCGCACCACCAGCCACTCCGTTCTGAGTAGGCATCGACTGAGGAGACGGAGGAGCAGCCGCTCCCGTCGCCGCCGCCTGCTGTCGCTGCACCTGAATCTGCGCCATCTCAGAACTTACAAACCCTTCTGCAAATCCCACTCCTTTCTTCTTCTTCTTCTTCTTCTTCTTCTTCTTCCTTTCCTAGAACCAAATTTTTTTTATATTTTTTTCTCCGTTCCCCACTCTCCTCGTTGCGATTATATAAGAATCGGAAACACTGTGGCTATCACGGCGCCACTCTTTCTCCCGAATGCGATCCTAAAAACGAAAACCGGATAGGTAATAGAGGGCAAAATTCTAGGGTATAATCTGAGGGATAAATAAAAGAGGAGCGGGGACGGGGGATAGGATATAGGAGGGATAGAATCGTCGGCGACCGGAGACGGGGAACTACCGGACGGCTAGACGACGGAGAGGAAAAGGAGAAATTTTTTGGTGTTTTTTAAGGGTGGGAGGGCAGAAGCACGAACTGCACCGCGCCGGCAATGGCGTAACTGTGGAGATTATATACTCTGGGAGGCAGAAACCCTAGTTGCGACAGCTTGCTGATGATTGATCAGCAGCCGTTGGATCGGGATAGTGGGAGCCTGAAACCCTAGCTTGATAGTCTGTCAGCGTTGTCAGGAGCCGTTGGATGTAATGTTTGGACGGTTGAGATGAGAAACGCGGATGAGGGAGAGCCGGGTACACGTGGTTGTGTGTGCAGATTAACTTAACACGGGAATTCTCCATCAAAGTTATCGAAATTTTCGATAAGAGGGAGAAAGAAAAAGGAAACAGCCACTCTCTTGTCGGGATCGGTCGTTTTGTCAGAAGGGGTCAAGGCCCAATCGTGTCAAATGGGCCTGATTGCGGGCCGTGTCTGGTAAAACAAGGAGACTACGAAGGATAGTTCAGTTGCGGACTGTTTAATTGAAAGTGGAATGTTAACGGGAAGAAGCCCACGAAGGATTGCCTAGAGGCTTTTAATTGGAAAAAAATTGGAAGCATAGCAATATCAAATGCCTTCAGTGGATAATTAAAAAAATCTACCCCTAAAAGTAGTGATTAGTTTGCTTAGATTAAAATATACGAAAATATGAAAATGACATTTTAGCAGGGTTCAAGAAGGCGCGTCTAGGCGCACGCCTAGACTCGATTAGGCGCTAGGCGGTGGAGGATCGCCTTGACTTGGCCAAAGGCGTTGTAAAAGGCGCTGGTAGCGCTTAGTTTACGCCTAGTGGAGAGAAGGCGTGCCTGGGCGAGCATAGGCGGTTAAACCCAATACTCTTCGTTTTGTCCTAGAAAATCAGAAATTTGCCTCTTGCCCTAGAAAATCGGAAACACGGGAAGGGAATGAACATGCTATGTATGTATTCGTAGATGAGGATGAGGAATCATATTGTGCACCCTCGAGTACTGTTACAGATGCAATGGCGGCAACAGCGGATCTAGGGGGGGCCGCCCCCGGGCCACGGCCCAGCCCTCCCTCGATCCGTAGCTAGTATAGCACGTGTAAATTTTCGATTTTTGGTGTTCGTTTCGGTGTTCGTTTCAGTATTCGTCGTATTACGGCCCAGCCTTCTCTGCTTTTTTCCAATGTGGCCCAGTGCTCTACCCAATCCTGGATCCGCCGCTGAATGGCGGGTGAACAGAGTGAGCTTCGCAGGAGTGCACGAGTGAGAGAGCTCCATGATGAAGAATTAGAGTCTGAAGAGGAGGAAGAGGAGGAGGATGGTGAGGAGATTACTTTTGAGGATGATGAAGATGAAGTGGTGGCTGGACGGACCTACTTGCATGATGAAGAATGAACATTTTACTATGAACTTATTGACTATGGTTTAGTATTTCGACATTTTATGAACTTGTGATTCTAGGAAGTGGTCACTATTTGCTTGTTATTTGTTATGTTAAGTGTTTACTGTTAAGAACTAGGCATTGCTAATTTTATATGCACTTGGATTATATGAATTATTCCAGAAAACAGGAAATATTTGAGAACTTTTTCCATTTATGCTCTGAACGCCTAGGCGCGTCTAGGCTACGCCTAATCAGGCAAGGCGCAAGTCAGGAGCCGAGCGCCTGCCTTACGCCTAGCGCCTTTTAGAACCTTGCATTTTAGAGTATGAATGTCAATGAGGTAGGTTGAGACGGATTTTACTAAATCCATCCTTGTATTATTTTTAGGCTTAATTCACCTATATAGCTATAACTTTCGTGTTTTTAACAATAATAGCCACTTTTTGAAAAATACATAGTTGTAGCCACATTTTGGAAACTTGTTCAAAAAAATTAGTCATTTCTGTTAAAAACTTTAACACCATTAGTAGGACGCTGATGTGGATGTCACCTCAGCTCCCATATCAACTCCAACACATGTCCAGCAAGGCTTGTCATGTCACTTGGATGCCACGTCAAATTGAAAAAAATAATTTAATTTATTATTATGATCTTTCTCTTTTGTTATCCCCACTGTTCACTTCATCTCCTCTCCAGAGCTTCGATTTCTTCCTCTGCTACTGGCGCCGTTGCCGTCAAATTCATATCGAAGGGAGAACGGCCCCTCTTCGCCAAAGAAATCAGGAGAGGATCTGAATCGGCCCATTCATAACCCGTTCGCCACTGTGCCAACGCTCAGTTGTGGCTTTCCTTTTCCAAATCTAGTGCTTCTTCTACAACAACCACGACTGGCCCGAATCGATCCTCGCCCACGGCTTCCCCTTCCCGCTCCAAAGCAACAAGCTCACCGGACCCGGATGCAAAACCTTGCAACAAGCTCACAGGACCCGGATGCAAAACCTTGCAACAAGCTCACAGTCCCCTCCCAGTCCGTGTTGGGTCCACCGGTGATCCACCGACGCAACCTCCCCTGCAAAACGAGCAAGAAGGGGGCAAGGAACCCAGCTTGTAGATCATAATCCTCTTATGGAGCTCCATCCACTCCACGATCCTCCTCGTGTACCCACCAACCCTCCACCGCACCAGATCGATCACCATCACATCTATGTTAAAGTAGCAGGCGTTCCTCCCCGAGACAGGGACGGGTTTGACCAGAAGGTCGGGGTGAAGTAAATGGTGAAATTGGCGTTGCAGTACTCCGGCGCGGCGAGGGGTTTCCCGAGGAGAGGGGTGGCGGCGAGGTCGTCGACAAGGATGAGGTAGGAGTCGAGGTAGAGGACTTTTTTCAAGAAGGTGGGAAGCAGCGTCAGGAGGTCATTGCAGGCGTAGTTGAGAGGGAAATCGAGTGCTTGTCGGATTGAGGTGGAGTTTAGGCCCTGGATTGGGGAAGGAGCGAAGATTTGGAGCTGGCAGCGGAGGTAAAGAAAGGAGCGGAGGATGGTTTTGTGGAGGGAAGGCTGGGAGGAGATGAAGTGGAAGCAGATGTTTTCCGGGCAGGAGGAGTGCTGAAGGGTGGAGAGGATCGCTACCATGAAGCCGCGAAGGTAGTGGAGGTCGAGGGGAAGAAGTTGAAACTTCTCGTCGAAAGAGTGAGCGGGGGCAAGCAAGCAGCGTTGATTGAATTTGGGATACGGGGTTAGGGATTTTGGAATCTGAATTTTTTGATTCTTGCTATCCATTTGGAGAGAGAAAGAGGAGTTGTTCGATGGAGAAAGTAGGCGACTAGCCTCGGAAATAGGCCTTTTGCACCTGCAGTGGTCGAGTGCCAGTTTAATGGCGGAGAAGCAGAAGAAGAGGAAGAAGATGGATGAGTGGTCGACTGATGGTGGAGGGTTTGACGGAAGAAGGAGAGAATATGAGGTGGGCAAAAAATGTAAAGTGGCCTTTTGATATGTTTTATATTTCATTTATTAATTAAATAAAAAAATATGGATGTTTTCCACCTGGCAATGACGTTAAATAAAATACGCCACACTAACTGCTGTCGTTAGTCCAGTCAGCGGGTGATGACTTGATTTATACACATGTTTTTGTCCACCATTCTTATATCGTTTGAGTCTTATTTCTCGTGTTTTAGGCCGATTTCACGCTAGGTTGTTCTTGTTTGTGATATTTCAGGTCCTAGTACATGAATGAAGGTTTGGGAACGAGTTCGGGGTCGATTGGACGAAGATCGGACGTTTGGCGAGAAGCTGAGGAAGCCACACGGGCACACCTAAAATCCCACACGGCCGTGTGACCTGACCGTGTGACACCAAATTGCACGGGAAAGCCACACTAGCCGTGTAAGGGAACCCATGTGGCCGTGTGAAGGCTCGGTGAATTTCACACGGGCATCTTGGAAACTCACTCGGCCGTGTAGCGTGCCTGAAGTTCACTTATCGAAACACCGCATTTTGCACACTCACACGGGCAGCTGGGAAAGCCACACGGCCGTGTGGCCTGCCCGTGTGGTCGGGAATTTCTAGGTTTTAACCCAATTTCGAGCCTAAGGAGAGGGAATGAACTTTTTGGAGCAAAAATAGAGTTTTAGAGAGAGAAAGTGCGAAGAACAAACCCTAGGAGTTATTTGGAGTGGATTTCTCACCATTGAAGCCCAGATTGCATCCCAAGGAGTGAAGATTGACATCCCAGAGCAGAGTCTTCCCATTTTTATGAGTATGACTGCTTTGTATTCTGTTTCCCTCTCTCTCTATGGAGTAGAACCTTCTCTCACTTGGGTATGAAGAACCCTAGTTCCATGTGTTAGGGATCTTGATTGTAATGACTTTGGATTGTTATACTGTTTGGTTATAATCGAATGATGCATGATTTATTGAATCAATTGAAGTTTGATCATCTTTTCTTGATTTTTGCTGCAACTTGAGATAGATAGAATCTGATTAGGTTGTTAGAGCTTTATCATTTGGTAGTGGTAGATTGGTTATATGAGAGTTAGTCAATCTACTGCTTTGTACTGGAATCCAATTCCAGTAGTGGAGTTCTGTGTTCATAGCCTCAGCTTTCTATCCTAGTGATGACTAGTCGTCTGCCGGGTAGTTGGACTGAGAGGGCTTGGTCAGCTTAAGAGATTCCAATCTACGCTCGGATCTTCCGTAGTTTAATCAACAGTAAATCAAACCAGGGTAATTACAATTGAGACCTAACTAAGGAGCTAGGGGGACTCATTCCCGAGTGACTCTTCATTTGGTTCAGAAAACCGAACCATTTCCTGCTTTCTTACTGCTTTTACTTAAATCAACAATCACTTGACTTAGTTGGCTAGATAATAGATATTCACGGAGTAGGCAGTAGATCTAGACCCCGGGTTGACATTAGAACTTGCCTGTTACTGCATTTCCGGACTGCGATTACACTTGGTCGCAGTTTGGTGTTGTGTTTTAGCGTGTCATGGTTTTGGCGCCATTGCCGGGGACCCTCTAGGTTATTGGGGAAACGTGAAAGTTTGTTACTCTAGCTTTTTCTTTATTGCATTTTCTCTCTTCCACCTGTGTGCCCTCACGGGTTGCTTTTGCTAGTTGTGTGCAGGTAGTGCATGACCCGTAGCCAGTCGGGAGAACTACTACCATTAGACCAGGAGCTTGAACGGACCTGTAGAAACTTCAAGCAGGCTCTAAAGGCGCGACTGGCTGCGGAGTAGGCGCTAGCACAGCTGCAAATCGCCAACGAAGAAGAGATGGGTGACCCACAGAACAATGATGGGGTCATTCCTGAGGAGCAGACCATGGGGTACTACTGGATCGCCAAAGCCGCAAACATGAGGTCGCCCATTCAGCACCCTCATTTGCCAGCGAATAACTTTGAGGTGAGCACCTCTGTCATCACCATACTGCGCGGTTCGGTGGTGTTCTGTGGCAAGGAGGGGGAGTGCCCCCGATCACATCTGAGGCGATTCCACGAGCTCATCGATGGAATCAAGATAAATGGGGTCCCAGCCGATGCCATCCAACTGAGGTACTTCCCATTTACTCTGGAGGGGCAGGCCAAGGAGTGGCTAGACACTCGACCTCCAGGCTTGATCACCATGTTCGCCAACCTGGCGGACAAGTTCCTCACTCGCTACCATCCCCCGTCCAAGACGGCGGACCTGCAGAAGCAAATTAGCCACTTTGCTCAGGATGAAGATGAGACCATCCGGGATGCTTGGGAGAGATACATCAGTCTCTTCCTCAAGTGTCCCAACCATGGTTTTACCGACGCCTTCAAGGTGGGCACATTCTACCATGCCCTCTTCCTGGAAGACAAGCAGCTGATTGACTCGGTCTGTGGCGGGAATATGCTCACCAAAACACCGCCACAGCTGAATCAACTTTTTGAGGAGATGGCAGAGCAGGGCTATGATTGGGGAACTGCGAGGAGATCGAGACGAGCACCAGGGCGGGGTGTGCATGCTGTAGCCACCCAGTCATCTGATTTGGTGCAGGTGGTATCGAAGCTGGTTTCAACCATCGATCGCTCTGGGATGATTGCAGGTACAGGACAGCCGCAGGCGATGCACTGCCAGTGGTGTGAGAGCTCCCATCACACCGTGGAGGACTGTCAGGCGATGAGGGAGTCGTCTACTCCCCAGGAGCACGTGGACTTTATCGGCAATGTTAGGCGCTTTGGCTCCTACAGCAACACTTACAACGAGGGGTGGCGCCAGCATCCCAACTTCTCCTGGGCTGGGGCCAATTCTAGACCACCAGTCCCCCAAGGACCACCAGGCTTCCAGAGGCCTCCTTACTAGCCCAGACAAGGGCAATTTCAGCAGCTGCAGCAGCCTCTCTACCCGCCCAGACAGGGGCCAGTTCCACCTCAGTCACAGGTGCAACCATTTCATCAGATAGGGGCAGCACCTGCAGCCCTAGTACAGAGTGACCCGATGGCGGAATTGCGAGATCTGGTGGGTTCTCTGGCCACCTCCAGTGCAAACAAGTTCAATAAAATCGAGCAGTTCATGGAGAAAGCTTCAGGTAAATTCTTGGATCTAGAAGCTGGTCAGAGAAACACACAGGCTGTGCTGCGGGATATCCAGACCCAGCTTGGGAGTGTTGCCCAGGCTGTAGCTCAGAGGACTCCTGGTACTTTACCCGGTCAGACCATCCCTCATCCGCAAGACCCAAATGAGCACTGCAAGGCCATTACTACCAGGAGTGGCAAGATGACTGCTGATCCACCTGTGCGGGCACAGGAGTGAGAGACCCCTGCTTCAGCACTTCCAGCTAATGAGGAAATGGAAAAGGAGGTTGAGGTGCCTGCTCCTAAACCGCAACCAGTGGTGAAGGAGTATGTACCGCAGCTTACCTTTCCTACTCGGTTGCACAAAGACCGACTGGAGACCGAGTTTGCCAAATTCATGGCAATGCTGAAGCAGGTAAACATAAGCATGCCCTTCGTGGAGGCATTATCGAAGATGCCCAAGTATGCCAAGTTCATGAAGGATCTCATCACAAACAAGAGGAAGCTTGGGGAGCTGTCAACGGTGATGCTCAACGAGGAGTGTTCTGCCATCCTGCAGAACAAACTACCAGAGAAGCGAAAAGACCTAGAGAGTTTTACTATCCCTTGCATGATTGGTAGTTTGCATATAGGGAAGTCCTTGGCAGATTTAGGTGCTAGCATAAATGTCATGCCATACAAACTGTTTAAAAAGCTAGGCCTAGGTGAACCCAGTGATACTAGGATGAGCATTCAACTTGCTTATAGATCCATTGTGCATCCTAGGGGCATTGCAGAGGACTTGATAGTCGCAGTAATGCCATTCTCATATCCTGTTGTTGTGATTTTGGACATAAATGAGGATGTGGATGTGCCATTAATATTGGGTAGACCTTTTCTCGCCACAGCCAAGGCGCTCATTGATGTGAATGATGGGAAGTTGATTTTGCGAGCTGGGGGTGAACAAATCACCTTCTCTGTTTCTGATAATATGAAACACCCCCAGCTCCATGATGATCTAGACTACTGTGATGTTGTTGCTGATTTTGAGACCGCACTCGCCATCACGAGTGCGGGTACTGATGATTTCCTCGAGCGTTGTCTTTTGCTAGGGGAAC